CATTTACAACACTGTTTTCTGTGTCCATGGGTTATGCATACATGCATATTTGTTCTTTGGTTAATCTCTTCTCACCCACCCCTCTCCCTTTCCCTCTGAGATTCATCAGTCTCTTCCATGCTTCCATGTCTCTGGATGTATTTTATTTGTCATTTTATTTTGTTCATTAGATTCCACATATATTTTAATGTAATTTAATCTGTAGTTTTGGACTGTTAGTCTTATTGCTCTGGGTAGGTCAAGTTTAGCTAACAGGTTAGGATTTTCTTGATAGAGCTATAACATTTAGTTCTATATTATACACAAGAATATGATCTTTTGAAAGGACTTGTGTTAATTTGATGTCTGCCGTTTTATTATTTTTAAACCTCCTCAGGTCTTTGACATTTTGAATTCAGCTGAGTTAATCTGTCTGATGAGACATATATCCATACCTAGGAACTTTACTGTGGAGTGCATGGTTCCTGCCAATCATAGCAGCAAGACTGCAAGCATCTGGCTGGGCTGTGGGCACACAGACAGAGGCCAGCTCTCATTTCTTGACTTAGCTACTGAAAGACTCACTTCTGAGGTAAATACAAATACTCTTTCAATTGGAGACACTATAGAAAACTTATTTTGGCATATTATTATTTTTTAATTTTACTTTTCAATTAATTTATTAATTGCAGGTATACCTCATGTGGTTAGATAATTTTAAAGCATATACTATTTAAAAAGTTTCTTAGGAAGAAATTAAGTAAGCTAATTTAGGAGTATTATTAAATTGGCTTTCTGTTAGAACAAGAGTGTTTATATGAAATTAAATAGTGTGTGTCTTGTTTAAATATAGCAATATATGTGTGTTTTAGGTCAGGGTCTCCAGAAACAGAGACCGAGACAGAAAATCTTGTACGAGTGATTTAAGGAGGGAAAAACTTTTAAGAAGTACAGGAAGCTAGAAAGAGCAGGAGAAAAGCTCAGCAAAAATGTAGTTCGAGGAAGTCTAGCCTCAGCCTTTATCCATAAGAAACTCCGGAGTGTGACTAGCAGCACAGATTTATCAACATCCCTCCATGGGGCAAGGGGCCAGTGTTCATTCCCATGCATCAACCAGCCGTTGGCTGCAGCCCTCCCAAGGACAGGGGTGCTGTACCCTCCCAGCCAGTTCTGGGCCAACCAGCTCTCGTTAGCTGAGGGCAGATCTGCTGTGAAGAGTGCAGCTCTGAGCTGCTGGTAGCCGACACTCAGAGCAGCTGGGGGCGGGTGCACTGCCCTGATAGAGGAGCTCTGGGTACAACTTCTGCGACACGGATCAATAAACTGTATTGGCAAATATAAGATACATTTCTAGATTTCAAAAATAACCTAATATTTTGACCGTTGCCTTGATATACCATGTTATGTCTAAACATTATTTTCAAGGCTGAAAAATCTTCTCATATTGCTTTGATGGAGTGTGAAATGATGAGAAAGAACTTTCGATTTTTAGTTTTAGTTTCAGGTGCATTCTAGGTAGACAAGACTTGTTTACCAGTTAACTCATTTATTGTTGAAAATGACATAAAATTGGTATTGTTGTTTGAAAATCAAAAGCAAGAAATTAAAAGAGTTAAGTATGTGAATAACTGAATATTTTTGTTTTATATAAGTTCTACTCACTTAAGCTAGAATCAGTTTCTTTAGAGTGTGTTTTCTTTTGTCAACAGGAAGTCACTGACAGTAGAATACTGTGCCTCGCCTTGGTGCACCTGCCTGTTGAAAAGGAAAGCTGGATTGTGTCTGGGACACAGTCTGGCGTGCTCCTTGTCATTAATGCCGAAGATGGGAAGAAGAGACATACCCTTGAAAAGATGACCGATTCCATTACTTGCTTGCATTGCAATTCCATTTCCAAGCAAAGGTACACTAGTGAATTTGACCATTGGGTAAACATACATACCTTTTAGATGACTTAATTGTGTGCAGAGTATTATAGCATCAGCAAAGATTGCTCATTTTTAACATTTTTCTGTTGTTAAAGGGAATTGTGGGAAACCACAAAGTTGTTTTTTTTTTGGTATAGAGATCAAACTGAGGCATTTATAAAATAGGTCAGTCATTTCTTGTGGCCCACCAGCCTTTCTCCTGGTTTTATCTCTGCTGTGGCTCTATTTCTTTACCACTCCTCACATCAACTTACCTTTGCAGGACCTCTTCAAAGATGACCTCTCACTCATTCTTTCTTTGAATGTGTATATATCAGTAGTTTATTATGTGCCAGTCTAAAACATATCAGTTACCTAACTACCAAATTGGGGGAAAAGTCCAATAAATAAATTCATATGTTGTTAATAGGTGAAAATAATCATTATCAGTTGTAGGGATCTTATCTCAAAGGAAATTTTCTAAATGGCATAATTTCAGGTGTGAGTAACAGGTTGGTTGTTGCAACATTTGTGGTGAGATGATTTTCAGGAGCCATTAAGATTATTGCTCCCCCCAAACTCCTGTGGGTTAAGGCAATACTGGAAAATAAATATTAGGAAAATGTGAAGCCCAAGTTTTTGGCAGCCGAAATGTAAACCACACTTGAAATTTTGAAGTTGAGATTGTTTGGATATTATCGAAGAAAAATTCCATCAGATGGAGTTCAATAGGCAAAGAAGATTTTATTTAAGACTATTGCAATAGAGAAGAGAGACTGGGCTCAACTCTGTGAAATAAAAGGCAGGAGAATTTTTAAGTACTGGAATGAAGGGAAGCTGTCAATGTGATTGGGCTACCTGTGTTTGCAAATTGGTGCTTATTGAAGTTAGGCTCCCATCCTGCCACAGAGACTGGGAGATGGACAACTCTTTCTTGATTACATTTCTAAGGGAGGGCTCTCAGATTTTTGAGAAAGACTTGGTCTATAAAATTGGCAAGAGGCTAGAAGATTTACATCTCAAATGGGCTGAGGAAGAATTTACAGTTGTTTAAGTTATTTCAAGTAAATGATATAAGAAAAGGAATCAGGGGCCTATGCTCAGGAAGAAACCTGTCTAAAATTTAGTCAAGCTAGGGGAAACATTAAGGCCACCTTGGTCAAGATAAGCCTTCCTTTGGGTAACAATTTTGACATTTCTCTTTTTAGCAAGCAAAAAAATTTTCTTTTGGTGGGAACTGCTGATGGAAACTTAGCGATTTTTGAAGATAAAAGTGTTAAGGTAAATGTTGAATGCATTCTACATAAAAATTTATGTTCTTTGTTTTATGTGTGCTCAACTCCAGCCCCTTCTAAGTGGTTATAAACTCCCTGAGAGCAAGGATCATAAATTCTGCTTTTTGTCTTTTTATTGCTTCATAAAATCTTGTACACTGTAGGTCCCCTATAAATACTTGCTGATTGAATGTATGGTTTATATGAATGAACTAAGAATAAAATGATAAATGAGATTTGATGTATAATGTTAGGAATATAAATAATTCTATTTTTATGTAAGCAGAGTTGATAATTTTAAACATATTGCAAAAAAACCCTACAAAGGACACTAGTTTTAAATCATATTTGCCACCAAGTTTTTCTCTAGCTTTGAAGATATCATTTAACTTTTTTTCTCTAGATTCTCATTTATCATAAAAGCATTTATTTATTTCTCCATCCATTCATCTGTCTTGCCAACTACTCATTCAACATTCTACCTATTCATACTCCTTGTTGTCAAAAATCTTATCATCTAATGAGAAACAGAGAAGTAGAGTAAAATACGTAGGTTATTTCCTGTACAGTTTTTGCATGGAGAAGTGAAGAGATTGGTTATAGGATAATATTTTGAATACTGCTTGAATTGAATCCTGTTATCCTGAATTTTATTTTAATACCTGTAACCATATAAGATGGGAAAGTATTTTTTAGAAAGCTTAAATTTTACAGTGTTTCATTCTGCAGATAATAAACTGACTGTGTTTTCTCTTTTGGGCAAAGTGTAAAGGAGCTGCTCCTTTGAAGATACTCAATATAGGAAATATCAGCACTCCAGTCATGTGTTTGAGTGAATCTGTGAATTCAGTGGAAAAAAACATTATGTGGGGAGGATGTGGCACAAAACTTTTCTCGTTTTCTGATGATTTCACCATTCAGAAACTCATTGAGACCAGGACAAATTCACTGTAAGTTATATCTGTGTATGCAATTAATTTATCACTTTATTTGTGGTTATTTTTTATAATCATGTCAATAATGCTGTTGATAATCCCAAATGAAAATCTTTTAAAATACATAATCTATTATTCTATTATAAAATTAAACATTCATTATAGAAAGCTAAGAAAATTCCAGAAAGCAGAGGGACAGTAAAAGATCACCCAGTCTAATCATAGTTGGGATAAAATATGAACACCTATGGTAATCATAGGATTATTTATCAATCTAAATATTTAACTATTTTGTTGTCTCTGTATCAAATATGGAATTTCAAAGGCAATATTTTTATCTATGGATTTTACATGTGTTCTGGATACTGCCCATTACGTATTGACTGTAGGAAATATAGGCACTCAGGAATAAAGTCCTCCCTAGATTTGATAGTTATACAGATGTCCCTTGTATAGAAAAGTTAGTTATTCCAGTTTCAAGCAAGAATAAAATAAAATATAAATGTCATTTCAATTTTTAAAGTTGTGATTTATGCGAATCATTGCAGTTGGTTCTTATTTATTACATTTCTCAGTGAGAAGCAGTGTAGGGTGGTGGAAAAGAGCATCAGTCATAATTCAGATATAGGCTTTGCCTTGTATTAGTTTTGTGAACTTAGGCAAGAAATCTCAAATCTCTTTTCCCCTCTTACCTGAGGACTGTAATATACATTATCTCAAAGGCATGTTTAGAAGACTAAAGAAAATGAATATAAGGAGCTTATAGAAAAGACATGGTCCTTGTCCTTAAGCAATTACATTTACAGTGTAGTGTCAGGGAGACACTAATAAATACAATTTTATTTTTAATAAGATCTATAATATTATAGCTGCACTAGTGGGGGAAGGGGAAGGATTAGTCTATTTTGATAGGTCAGGGAAGAATTTCAGAGGAGTGACATTTAAGTTAAGCCTCAGAGACTAACTAGAAGTTTGCCAGTACAAATGCGGCCTGTGGTAGCCAAACTGTTTGCAAAATATGTAAAATGCCAAATGCCTTAGGTTGAAAAACTTATGTTTAAAATGCATGTCATTTTCCCTTTTTCAAAGCAGGAAGATGTGGGTTTTGTCTTCCCTTGTAACTTGACTGGCTTGCGTAGATGCAAGGATACCTTTTGCTTTAATATTTGAAGAGGTTGCCACTAAAATTTAATTTAACATCTTATGTTTTATTGCTCTAGGTATAGATGGCTACCACTTAATTCCCCAAGCACTCTTGACAATAAGGATTTTCTTGCAACATCATAAAGTTACAGATATTATGACCATATTTCTTTTAGAAACTAGGTAGTTTTGCACATTTGGGCAGTGTAAAATTCTCTAAAGAACAAGATAAAGACTGAAATTAAAATTAAAACCAGAAATAAACATTAGTTATGATCTTTCATTTATATTATTATCAAGCAAAAAATATAAAGTGACCAAAAGTAAGTGAAGTTCCAAAGTAAGTTATATATTCTGTTCAGATTAGAGGAGAACATGAAATAATTGCCAGTACTCTAGCCTGTTTCTTTTTCAAACTGATACTAATCTTTGACATGCATTAGAAACTAATGCAGGGTTGCATTACATGTTAAAATCGAAGGAATATGAATATAGTGACATTCTTTCCCCACCCCCAGGCTTTCTTACGCAGCCTTCAGTGATTCGAACATCATCGCGGTGGCGGTGGACGCGGCTCTCTACGTTGCGAAGAAAAATAGCCCGTTTGTGGAAGTGTGGGATAAGAAGACTGAAAAACTTTGTGAACTGATAGACTGTGTGCACTTTTTAAAGTAAATTCATTGGGTTATTTTCCTAAATTTTATTTTGTTGTGGGAGGTGCCTAACACAAGGCCTACCCTCTTAACAAAATTTTATTTTATTTTATTTTATTTTATTTTATTTTATTTTATTTTATTTTATTTTATTTTATTTTATTT